GCTGGCTGGTTCATGTGCGAATTGGACCGGATTTGTTAATCTAGGAACCGGTGGACCCTTCAGGTGCTCATTCCAGTCTTCAGTTGAGCAGTCGGATGATGGAGAGCAGGTTTTCCAAGAAGCTACCCTCTTTCATTCGGTTTGTCATTCTTGCGAAGCGGGTGGTCATGATGCCTGACATGCGTCACATCGCTTGCTATTCGTCCAGGCGTCTTTCAGGCATTCAGCCGCATTAGCATCACACAGTAGAAAACGTCCTGCGGTTGATTTGCAAACATCAGCTGATCCATGTTTGCCAGGTATTTTAACAGATAGATAGTGTGTCAAAAAAGACATGCAGATGACTCTGTCTATTATATAACAGATGGCTTGGGTGTTGGCACAGCAGATGCTGTCTATGCCGCCAAGAAGCTAGACGTGAAACAACTTGTCCATGAGGTTGATTGGTGAGCTGGTTTGCCAACTCTTCTACCGTAACTTCTACCCGCAGTTCTTCCACACTTCTTCGGTTTTCCCCGAGTTCTGGATAAGCCTGGCAGGCGGCGTGATGAAAGGCCGGGAGATGAACAGGGAGAACCGAGGAGGTATGATGGAAGATCTTTAAATCTTTTTCCGGTGTTTCACAGGTCGTGGTGTAGGCTGTGCCTTCCAACCAGAGTGGCAAGAGGATCTATCGTCCTTCTTCAGTACCTCAGGGGACAGGGCTGGGCAGCACGGTGGCTTGGTTACAGTATCATTCTTTTGTGGAGGCGGTGCCTTTGGAACCGGGCTGAGCAGCGCACGCGTGGTCGGGTTCTTTAAAACCCAGGCTGAAACCTTCCAGAGAAGGTGATCGAAGGAATGTGGGGCCCAAATGGGCCAATGACCCCGCTTTTGTCGAACAAGTGCATCGCCATGAGTAACGGCATCGCTACTAACAAAGACTCCAAGGCACGTTACTTTGGAAGGTGTGACGGGTTCTATTCGTGACTATTCAGGTGTGGCTACTAATTCTTGTTTCTAATGGCTTCTTGTTACTAGTAGTACGGCCAGGAGCCCCTAGTAGCGTCCTTGCTCCTAGTAGCGATGCCAGGAGCCCCTAGTAAAGACGGCTCCTCATCCTTCATCTAGATCTTGATTAACTAAGACTGGGGGGGCCTTAACCGCCTTAACCTCCAGGGTCACAAAGTGCAGTTGTTGACTCTCAGGTGTCCAGGTATGAGTCGTCAATGCAAATGCAATCCGTGTGACAGTGGTGTACCCACTAGCTACAACACTTTCTAGCACGGAGTCGTTGCAGGTGACAGGTTGCTGATGTGGCAATCATGGAACCCTTATGTATCCTTAGGGCCTGTGAGCAAATGTTGTGTTTTGCATCGATAAAGGACATGTTGGAGCAGGGTCTATCCAAGTCTATCCACTCCTCACGCAGGATTCATTCTGGTGCGGGAATCCTGTACGTTCCCCTACTTGGTGGTTTTGGAGATATGTTTCCATCACGCTCCTGTTGTCCTGCCAGGACGCGTGGGCCAGGAACGCGTGTCGGCAAACTGCCTTCGGTGAGAAGACTCAGTCTGCACGAAGAAGAGGCTTTTCAAGCTCTAAATCGCAGACATGGAAAGGGGCACTTGGAGGTTTGTGATGGAGAGACTTTGACCAATGTGGCGTTTTGCTTGACACTTTCTGATATCTTTGGTGGGCCCGCCAAATCCAATGAGTCTATCCAAGGTGTGGCTGGAAAGTGGTCATGGACGCCCATTGATGTGGCCATGTGCATGTGTGACATCAAGGGCTGCTTTTTCAACCCCTTAACACGCAAGATGAAGGGAGGAGCTCACCCATTCACGAAACTCTCGGGTGAACGGAACGCAGGTTCATTGAGACGAGGCCTTCTTGATCGCTCATCAAGTCATGTGGAGAGTGGAGAGGTCTGTTGTGCTGAAAGAAGATCCAAGAAATTAGTATCCATTAGTCCAATTGAGTTCAGGTGACAAAGTTCTCGTTTCAGCCTTTCTTTTGCCAAGAGTTGGACAGGTGACACGTCATAAGAGTAAGCAATGGTTTTGACAGAACAACTGCAGCAAGTGCCCCTTTTGCTGGTTGACCAGTTTACGGTCAGCCAGTGTTGCTCGCTTTTTTGAAAGAACCATTTGTGGTTTTGTAGTGAGTCAAAAAAAGCACGCAAGATGCACCTTTTATGACTTGTTTGCGTTTTTTTTCAACTCTGGGAAACAGATTGAGAATCTTGAGTAGGTTAGGGAGCGACTTGGTGGCTTGACCCGGAAACCGATGGACGTGGTGAACATGAAATCAGCTCTGTCTTGAGAATTCAGGTCTGTAGGGGTCGAGCCACCAGCCTTCGACTTGGATCCAGCGAACTCGCGGCGAGCTCGCCCGCTCCAGTCACCCGAACCCGACTTTTAGCATAGTTTCTGGGTGAGGTGGAGAGCCGAAAGCATAAGCTTTTGTGGATAGACAACTCACTTCCTTTTAGTGTTGCAATCAGCACTTCTTTTTGGAAGGATGTTTCTGTCCTCACCATTGGGAACTACTACTTCTCCGATTCTATTCAGGCCCTATTTCCTGGTCTTCCCATTCTTTGGAGACTTTGGAGTTCAATTGAACATGTACAGTCATATGCATTGATGTGCTAGAAGCAGTTATATATGTATATATATATATAACCTGGAGAACATCAATGAACATGCTGGGCCACAGCAGGGCAAGGTGGCTGGATGTCATCGACCTGCGTTTGGTGCGTTCAGCCAAGTTTCTTACAATTCGGAATCGCAGTACGACGCCAAGGAATACAATTCTATGGAATCCTTTTCGTTTGAGCCCTACCATTTGATCAATTTGTGCATGGACGCTATTACGTGGAGGCTATCGCAAGTAGGTTGGAGGCCATCGCTACTAGTAACAAGAAGCTACTAGCTACTAGTAGCAAGGAATTGTCTAAGATGTTCCGTAGCTGGATCAGAACTTTGAAGAACTACTGTAAAGTCTATTTCATGAGCGATGGCGATGAGCTCCTTTTCAGTTCCAGGGGGGCATTCTGAATCAATCCCCCTGGAACCTCTCCAAACGCTCTGTTGATATGAATACGTTTTACTGCTGCTCCCATCTCATCCACTGAACGTCGGATTCGCTGTGTTTTTTTCTGGCTCGATGAAGGGTGCCAGTGTGAATTGGGGCCAGACAGACAGGAGCCTTATTTGTTTGGAGTGAGTTGATTTTATGTACGTACTCTGGCCGATTTCCAAAGGCTTTCCCCAAACAAGATGTGTTCTGGCTGTGTTACTGCCTGTTCATTTGGCACCACTCGGACAACTTGAGTTGTTTTGGAATCAGGAAGTTTTGAGACACCTAACCGTTTTGGACATGGATCCCCAAACCGTGGTTCCTCCACCACCATGTTCACCCCGCCCCTTGGTGCCCTGAGCCCCACCGAGCTTGCACCATCAACGGGGAAACGGCCAAGTCCCCGAAACGCGGAAAGAGATGGGGTTGTCGATCCATGGTGACGGCTGGAGAGGTTTTTGGTTGGGACTTGGTCAGCGGATGCCGATGGACGCACGAGGTGGAGGTGGACGCAATATATTGCAGGTGAAACGCTGGACCTTGGGATGACTTGGGACCTTTCCGAAAGGGACGAACGGATTAAGATCCATACTTGCCCTAGCGGCCCCAGCTTTGAAGGCTTTAGGGCACCTATAGAAGCCCACCTCTACAGTTCTGAACATGTCATTGCATGAGTTCCACCTGTGCAGTGGTAGGAAGGGACCAGAGACTCCCAGCCAGACTTCACCACCCGAGACTTCCAGCCATTTTCACCTATGTTGGTCACACAGAGTTCTGGCTGAAACCGCACGCCAAAGATGAAACAGCCCATGGCAGCCCAGCTTTCCAACACCACCTGGGGTGCTGCTGTAAGATCTCCTGCTTGTGGCATACGCTTTGCAGTGCAACTTGCAGATCTTCTAATAATGGGGATGGGGCGGGTAGCTTTTCCCTCAACAGTCGAACAGCACGACTTTGCCGAGTCCAAACCTTGGGATCAAAGCTGGAGTATAGACCCTGGACCGTACTGACTTCGTCTTGCAAGTGTCACCAGAGTTCCCCACTCCGAAGGGATCGTGCTCAACTCTTGTGAGCCTTTGATTGGTGCATGGTGTTGCAGACACGACTGGCCTGATCCATGACACTGTGACAGACATGTCAACCCCCTGCAGCTTTGACTGCGCAACCTTGTCGTAGGGTGGGCGGGGACCAGGTGCGGGGGACTCAATTCTTTTCAAACGGACGTGCCCAAAGTAGCTATATAATTCCACTGACAGCGGACCCAAGATGAGTTTTTGTTTGCTTGGTTTGCGGTGAGTCCCGCTATCTTGTCCCCGGACACACCCCACAACAAGTTCATTGGCCTGCAAGACAGTGCGTTGTGGCCCCTTTGTAAGTCAATTTGAGTCGAATTGGAGTGCAAAAGCTTTCTGAGAATTCATCTTGGCTTGAAACACTTGTTATTAAGTACCGTCCACCACGTTTGGTGTGTCAAAAAGGCTGCAACGGACGCTGAACACCAGCTGCATGCTCAGACATGTGCGTTGGTGAAATTCAATCCTGCCATGCCCGGAACGTTAACATGGCCTCACAAGAAGAGAAAGGTGACCTCTGCGAACACCCAATCAGCAGTATTGTGGGTTTCTGCCTTCATAGGTCTAACATGTTCGATGATTTTATGCTTGCGGATCGGTGGATGTTCACCGAAGCCAGTCACCGCAAGGAAGGAATGAAAAAGACAGGTGTCAAGTATATTGGCTTAAGTTTCCCTAAAAATCTTGGAACCAAATCATTAGTGCAAGTGCTTCTTCAAGGAAGCTCCCCCCAGCCACCTGCGTCCGTGGTAGTAGCATACTCTAGTAGCTAGTAGCTACCTAGCTTCTACTATCTACCTAGTCTCTATGGCCTATCCACCCCCAGGGCAACAAAGAAACTATATAATTTGACCAAACCGTCCGGGCATGGCCCGATCGCCCCGTCGGGCGGAGAGACGAAACCGTGAGAGAAAGACGAAACCTGTGGGGCGATCCGAAGCGCGTCCGGACATTTGCGGACGAGATTGGGCGCCGGACCGATCCCAGAGATTGCATGTGGTGAAGCGATGGGTCATGGATTTGGTTCTTGGAATGTCCGGTGACAGCAAGTCACCACCTTGGGATCTTGCGCCACCCGCAGCTGGGCCTCGCTCCATAAAAGGCAGGTTTCTCCGATCCGGGAGATCTCAAACGATCAGGCGAAAGACTACGTGGCAGAATTCCGTCTCGTCAAAATGCCAGAGGCGACGTTCACGGACATTTCTACGCCGTCACAGATGGATCTCCCAGAGAAAAAGATCGATCGTGCACGCGTTCTTATTTTGAGTTTGCTCACTGAACTCTTGCAAGGTGCTGATGGAGTCTTGTTTAATGTTGACCCAAGACATGGAAGACTTCCGAAGACATGGAGATGCTGGTTTAGAGATTTTGTTTTGGATTGAGTAGATGAATTGATCTCGGCATTTGTTTCTGAGTCTGTCAGAGCCGCTCTTGGATACCAACCAGGCTTCTTTTAGGGCCTAAAGGACCAGTTGATAGCAGTTGTGCGGGAACGGGCACCCCTGGTTGGTGCCCAAAGACCAGTTTGAGAACGAGTTTTGTTTTTTTCCATGTTGACAGGTGCCACCACCAAATTTACTGTAGGCCACGAAGACCTTGCACAACGGCACAGTTTACATGTTCCAGGAACGGGAGAAGGGCCGCCTTCAGAAACTGGTGAAGGACTTTGCCAAGGAGGCCAGCACTCACAGCTGGTTTGCGGGGCTGTGGACCTTCTTCTCCTTGGAGTTCTCTTGAGGGTCCCTTGTTTTCAAGTTTCCAGGATATCTCCAGTCGTCCAGTAGTCCCACCAATTTACGGATCAATGCCGAACCTCGCGCCTCAAGACTTGGACTTAGAACCCCTTACAAAACCAGGCCAAGGATTGGCGCTGCGTAGCCTATTTGCGGACGAAGCCCGGCAAGACCACTGGCTTGCAAAGAAATATCGTCTTGAGGGGGTTGGTATTTGGTAGGGACACAGAAATAAACAGGTGTAAGTAAGATTTATATACATCATGACGCAGACGGGATGATGTGTACTTTTGATCGATGTCGGCTCAGGCCAGGTCCCCAAGCCTCAGAGGTTCCAATGTCGAGGGATGTGGGTATCGCTTGACTTCTTAAGAGTTCTTAAGACAGCCTATAGCTTCGGATGACTTGCGTTCAGCGAGGTTCAGGGATTGCAGTTCTCGATGAAAGTGAACTCCCTCATGGTGTTTTGACGTTCACAGACAGAGCGCATCACAGACGTCGAGGTCGATTTACGGCTCGAGTTCAGCAGACAAATCTTAGTCGCCATGTCGGACAGCACGGCGGCTGGCGTTGCCAAGGCCCGGCATTTGGAGAGTTTGGCACTGGAGAGCGCGCGCATCGTGGATGACCCGCGACTTGGTGGTGATTTGCCCAAGAGAGATAGAGAGAGCCGGCCTTGTCAACCTTCCAAAAGCGGAGTATGTATGGCTTTAAGATGCTTTAAGTTGTTGTGCTTTGCGCAAGGAAGGCGAAGCGTTGGCAAGTTCCGAGTGGAGAAGCTAAGACTCGAACACTAACTCAGACTCGAAAGGTCTTTTCGCGGTGGCTAAGACCAGAAGGTGCGCGGTCCCAACCCCGGCCATCCTTTTGACCTGTGGGTTTGGAGTCCGACAGCGTCTTCTTGCGACAAGGAGTAAGGCTTGACTAAGGCACATGGGATGCACATGTACTAGGAGCAAGAAGCTACTAGGTGCTCCTGACATGGCAGGTTCCACCGTTCATACACGTTGATTCATAGTTCATAGGTTTTGATCGGTTCACATGCGTTTCCGCGGAATCTTTTAATCTGTTTCCGTGTTTCTGTGTGCGATGCGGTCAAGACCTGCCTCAAATCGCCGATGAACATGATTTTGCACTTTCCATTGTGTGAGTGTGATGTTTTTGGGGGGCTCATCTTGGATGTCAGGTATGCCCAGTACTTCTACACTGGAGCTACACTGGTGAGCCTTATGGGACACCGGGCTGGCGTTTGGCTCTTTGACTGGATGATGCCAGGCACCTGGTCTGCAGAAACTGCTGGTTTTGGGGTTGACCCCTACGGTGAAGCTGTTGGACAATTTTCGGACGTTGACTGCATCCACTGATCGATGCCTTGCTGCTCAAAAGCAGACATTGCACTATGCTGATGACCTCTTGCAAGTCGAGGTTGGCGGCAAGAATAAGCCCTTTGAAGACCCTGGCATGCCAGGATATCTCATCATTTGCAAGTGCTGGCCCTTTTAACCCTTGTTTTCCCTTCGGCCAGTTCCGAGAGGTTGCCGACTTCAGCTTTTGCTTGGATTTGGGTTCTCTGGGGTCGGAGGGCCCATGACCACCGACCAAGGGATCTACGATATGCTGATTGCGCGGACCAAGACCATCGACGAGCTGCTGCGCGCTGAAGCGCCGTCGGTGCAACAGGCGGAAACCAAAGGATACGTCAGAGAGTGCGGCGTGCGGGCAAGGAGTCACATTCCCATTGCAAGTTTCAGGCACCACCTGTAGGTAACACAAATAAAATCAGCCTCTTCATGAATCATATGAATCACATGAATCTTCCATCGTTTTGTGGATTCATGATCCTTTCACGTCGCGTGAGAACACGGCAAAAACCGATTCTGAGGTGGTGATCCTGGGAGCCGGCTACGACATGCGTGGCTTTCGCTTGCACCACGAAGGTTTGCAGATCTTCGAGGTGGATCAGCCGGCCGTGCAGGCAGGTCCTGGGAGGTCTGTGAGCATACTTCGTCGGAAACGCGCCTTGCATTCTTTTTCTTTTCAAATGGGCGGACTTCCTGCTCGAGATTGATGAAGCTCTGGCTCTGATCATTGCTCCGTCACACACAGAGTCAGAGAGCAGTTCCAGTTCCAGGTGTCTGCCAAAGTCAGTTTCACAATCATGGAATGTGTCCTTGCAACTGCCACAGAGACCCATCTCTTCACACTAGCCTCACCTCCTATTTCATCACCAACGGCCACTTGCATACGACCTAGGCGAGGAAGAAGGCCAAAGCCTCTTGGCACTTTGTTTGGGCTACCGGCGCTGTTAGCAATCCCATGGCAGGATTGCTATGTTTGATTGTTCGGAAGGCACCACGAAGGTTTTTTCTTTCTTTGCCATCAGGTTGTTGATGCCGGCGGGTGGGGGGTCGGGGCAACAAGAGCTTCTTCACAGCAGGATTGTTGAATGATTTGCTGCAGGTTTGCAGCTGTATGTTGGGTGACAGTCCACGTGCATGTACCAAGTGAAATCACTCCAAATGTGTCGATCAGGTGCTTCCTCGAGTGAAACCCCGAGGAAACAACTGCAAGGAAGTTCAAATGTAAGACCCTGGAACATCCACTATTACTGTGTAGGCTATGCACATCCTGATACACCTTCCTCAGTGGAACCCGTGAGCTGACGAGATTACGGTCTGCTCGAGATGGCAAACCACAAGCATCAGCACTGTGCTCAACCACAGCAAACCAACCAAGGTGTGTAAAACAGATCGCGCAGATCGCGGAGTTTTACTGGCCGCCGGCCCCAAATAGGGTATCTTTACATGCAAAAGGAATTCCATTCTCTTCGGGGCATTGACACGGCAGGTCCACCAATCAGAGACTATGGCTCAGGGACAGGCCACAAATCCATTCCTTCATCTCACGCACCCTTCTGTCCGCGACGAAGGTTCCAAAAGCTCCAAAAGCTTCATAACATCGACGGTTTCAGCCGAGGTCGCCCAAATCCCAAACCTGCCATCTGCCTCTGTGCACTACGTGCCTGTGGACTTCTCCTGCCAGTCCTTTTGAGGGAAGACGTGGTGTGGCGGTGTGAAGTGGACGGGGGGGTTCCTGACTCCCTTTATTCTGGCGAGTTTGGCGGAAGTTCAGGTTGCAGATAAAACCACCGAACCCAGCAATAGTCAACTTTGGTTTCTGCTCTGGATTCTGGCAATCATGAAGCCAAATGATTGGCCCGTCTCTCCGAAAGCAAGCAACATCATGGTGAAATGGTAAACTGGTAAACTACAGTATAGATGATATGTACATAATAAGAGGAATCCTCCAGGGTGCGAATTGAGTTGGTCTTGGGGTTCCTGAGCTATTCTTTCCATTCCGCTCATTTTGATCTTCTCCCAATGAGTCCTGGTGGGGTTTGAACCGGGGGACTGCCATGGAGACCCTTCCAATTGCCCTCGTTTGACGAAGGCGGGCGAACCGGCAGATTTTCTCAGGTTGGTGGATGAAGAGCTCCGAAAGGCCTCGATGGAAAAACGGAGTGTTTTTCCTTCGGTGTGGTTTTGATGTGTGTTCTCATGTCTCTGTCTTCTCGGACTGAGAGAGCTTCAGCTCTGGCAAATCAGACAAATCCTTGAAGTAGAGGTTGACTTGCATCAAATCAGTGAGAAGTTGGAAACGAGCAAGTCGTTGGAGTTGTTTGCGAAGCTGTTTAGCTGTTGAGCTGCATCACTGACACAGTTTCCTCATGACCAGCTCATGACCTCATGAGACGCACCTGATTTGCAACCTTTGACTCTTTGTGTTTTTTTTGATCCCTCCTTTACTCAATCAAGTAGGCGCCTACCTAATTAAGGGAGAAGTAAGCTCCTGGCAATAGGAAGCCACTACATATGTATGCAGGATAGCTCACGCCTTTTCAAGGAAGATCTCCCGCTGAGGGTGGGGGGAGCTTCCTTGAAGAAGCGCTCCCACTAATGATGTGGTTCCTAGACTTTTAGGGACACTTGAGTTGAATTGCTACACACCACTAGAAAGACGGTTTTCCTCTACCAACAAGGAGTTGTCCGCTTCCATATATTTTTTTTGAGGTTGCCTATATACATATAATTATATATATATAAGTTGGGTCTGTCCTATTACCTGTAACACAATCATTATATATATATATACTATTTTTCAACAAGGCCTTTACCAACCATCATCATCCACGGTTACAGGTAATAGGATAATAGACCCAACATAAAAATTATATAAGCAGTTGTTGGCTTTCTGCCAAATTGGTCCTATCCAGATCCCTGATGCTCACATCCCAAGTAGAGTAAAAAGCAAGACATGGGAGATTAGTAATCGCCTGGCGGGACGCGCGGCGACGCCCGCCGGAGTTGAGTTCGCGTGCGAAGGTGCCGAGCTTCGACCCAAAGGCCGCCAGCCTCATCATCTTCGAGGGGGTCACGCAGTACATCCCAAGTGACTCGGCTGAGGGCTGGGTGCGCAAAAGCACCAGCACGAATTGTTGGAAGATCAGGTCTGGCATAGGGGTGGAGTCGGGTGAAGTGAGACTGATTGTTAGAAACTGTACTTTGGGCTGCTCGCTTCTGTTAAAGGTAAAAGCGCAGTTTCTTTTGGAGAAACAGACCCTCCAAAGAACATCCAATAACCAAAGAACCACCAACACCCCTCAAACGCTCCTGCTTAAATCTTACTGTAAGTCTCCGGAGCAGGTCCCGTTTTGGTCACCTTCCCCAGTTACAACCCTTGGGACAGCACCTCTCAAGTCGGAAGCTCCGGCCTTTTTTCCGCGTGTTGTCGGCCTCCCGTTGTCGAGTCCAGTCCGCATGTTCCAGGAGAAGCGGTTGCGAGCACCATCAAGGCGATGGATCCTTTGGCACACGGCGAAGTGACGCGAAATGACGCGACCGTGGTGAAGTGGTCACAGGTCACGACAGATCATCCATAAGGATC